AAATATGGAAAAACATATAAAGATTAAAAATTGTACGTTTTTCCTGAATTTCTCAGAAGTATTATATTTTTGCATCTTTTTTGGTAAAAATACTATATTTGTTCAAAAAAAAAGGTAGCTATAGTTTTCTCTTTTCTAATTGCTGTTTTAACGATAAAGTTTATTAAATAAGATTATTGTTTATTGTCCATTACTTCGTGATATACTACTTTATTACTGCTATCAGTAGTTGGCAACCCGGACATTGATTACAAAATGCGTAAAGGTATTCGAATCGAAGTCGCAGTGTTATGTATAATGTGATTACCAGACCACTGGGGCATACCGCTTTCGCGTCGGTAATTGCTCCACTGTTATAATAAACAATCCATTTCCTAGAAACTAAATACATTTTTTTTCTTATTTTAGGTCAGTGATTGACAACAATCATAGATATTAATACATTCTTATATTTAAAAAAAAGACGTTACCCCACACTAGGATTTTGTCCTCTATCGTCGAAGCAGTTTACATACATGAATTTCACAAGAACATACATCCAGAACCCGGATCAATTATTTGTAGACTATACAAATACATTTTTCGTGCGGAATATTGTAATACAATTGTCATATCAGTATGCAGGAAGTCGATGGATGCAGGTGGCTCAGGACAGTGCTTTGTGGCATTCCTTGGGGGAGGCCTATGTTCAGCAGTGGACTTGTGAAGGGATGTGATTATGATGATGATGATTATGTATACTACTGGCTTCATAATACATAAATGTGGTAGAGCCGTGCTGCAGCTATGTTATTGGTATAGTTGTAGCACGATTGGGTCGGCTCGAGCGGGGAAGGTCCACGCTCTCACAGAATACCAGCGTAAAATAGCAGTGTTACGCTGCTGACTTTCGAATGGTGAGTGTAGAAATCCGGAGACCCCTTTTACGAAACGAAGCATTCCATCTTAGTCCACACGGGTGATAACGCATCTGCATTTTGATTATTATTGAGAATAGATGTAGATGTCTACGGGTCACAGCAACCACTTACCATCAGATGGACTGTGTGCTCGTTTGTCAACCTATGCTATAAAAATAAATACAATTATTATCAATGACATCGTAGCTAAGGTTTTGTCTACACGCGGCCTACTGTGTCAAATTTTAAACCCTTGATTGATGTAAATATGCAGAAACTATTAATGTAGGGGTTTATAGTGCATTATGTCCATAATGTTGCTTTGAACTTGTTTAATTACACTGTACTGTTTAACGTTGAAGTCGGCCATAATGATGTTAATATGTTGGTTTACGCTATTTGACAGCCTGTTTGGCGTGGTTATCGTAACATTTTATAATCGTATATTCTGTCTGTGCTACACTTTTACCCATACTCGTATTTTGTATTCGTGTTGTTGCGATGTAAGAATATCCACTAACACATATCGGCCCGTCGGTGTCGTAAACACTTCAATCTTTATATATAAAAATTACGTGTCACATTGTTTGGCCGCGATTAACAGCTAAACTACTAAACTGATTGCAATGAAATTTTGCACACTGTGTGCAGTTTGGTCCAACTTGGCAGATAGGATAGTTTTTATCCCTATAAGTGACCCTCAATATTTTTCATTACGAATTTAAGAATTTTTATAGGACACAGGGTCGTCGGAGAGTGCAGACCAACGTCTGCCTGGCCAGCTAGTATAAATATAAAATGAGAACATCGTCAATGTAGTCGAAATCAATTAAATACGCATTATTAAAGATAACTCAAAAAACTATTGGTCGTGGTCAAATTTATATGGGACCACATGAGAAGCTTTCTAATAAAAAAAGAATCATCAAAATCGTCGAATTGTGTACCTCTTCCTTTTTTTGAAGTCGGTTAAAAATGCGACAGAGGGAAATTGAAAAAGGAGATGAGCAGCATATTTGTAACTAGTTGGTAACGCATTTCTGCCGCAGAAGTAATAATTGGAAGAGTAATATTGTTTAAATGAAAATGATAATATATTCATTGAAATTGTATGGTATAATAACTTATAATACATTTGTCATCCACTATAAGTTAATTAACTATAAGGAATCTACTATAAGTTAATTGTGCTATGCCTATAACCTTCGCGCAAGTGCAAGCAATATAATTAAAAATTAAACATTTTGTACAACCGACTTAGAATAACTCAAAAACTATTGGTCAGACCTTGATCAAATTTATATGGGACCACATGTGAAGCACCAGCTTTCAAATAAAAAAGAAATCATCGAAATCGGTTCACCCAGTAAAAAGTTATGAAATAATACACAAAAAAACCATACAGTCGAATCGAGTACTGGCTCCTTTTTGAAGTCGGTAGAAAATGACAAAGTTTAAGCGCAAACAGATGAACGGTATAACAGCGCATAAAATACGAACAAAGAAACATTAATTTATATATATACGACTCAAGATAATAAAAATTGCCGTTGGCAATCCGCCTGCCAAGCCCATTTATGAAGCAATCTATGGGGGTAGGCATATGTTCAGCAGTGGTCTTTTATAGGCTGTAATTCGAAGCCTGTAATAGACGGATTGCATCGTACTTTGTGAATCATTATCAGAAAGAAGGGGCGTGTGCATTTGAGTTACGTAAAGTACCTGATACACTTTTTTTTTCTTTACCTAATTTTTTTTGGGGTTTTGTCAAAAAGACATGCCAATCCCATCATACCTTATACTAATGACTGCTAACACTAGAACAAAATAAAAATGTACTTGATACACTTGAAAGTCGCTAGGTGATAGGCCTCCTTTTTAACCGACATCAAAAAGGAGGAGGTTCTCAATTCGAGTGTATGTTTTCTTTGTATGCATGTTACGCGATATCTTCGCAGATTGTTAATCAATTTTGTTGATTATTTAATACTTTAGGGCTGGCCCCATATAAATTTGGAGAGAAAAAAAAAACACCTCAAGGTAGCAAATTAGGTAGGAACCCTAACTTTTTGTTAGGGTTCCGTACCCAAAGGGTATTACTAAGCCTCCGCTATTCCTCCGTCTGTCAGCGGGCTGTATCTCATGATCCGTAATAGGTAGACAGTTCAAATTTTCACAAAATGTGCATTGGTGTTGCCGCTATAACAACAAATAAGAAAAATATAAATACATTAAAATTAATAGATGCTCCTCTACTAGAAACGTGTATACAATGATACGGAACCCTTAATGCGCGAGTCCGACTTGCACTTGGCCGGTTATTTGACAATTTGAAGTCGCTTTTTACTCTTTGTTAAAAGTTATAATTAGAAACTACTGCCTAGCAGTCCGTCAGGGTAGGAACCACCCTCTTACCTATTTATACCGCCTAATAGCAGCGCTTGCACTGCTGTGTTCCGGTAGAAGGTTTCCGGTTCCGGTTTACAATGTCAAAATAACAGCTTTTTACTGAATGCTTTCATGTGTATATACGGTGCTTATAACAAAAACACCTTTTTTTTATTTTCGGGGTTTTCCCTGGCAGATAGGTGATATTATAAGGAGTAACTTAGGCTACTTTTTTAGAGAGAGAGAGAGAGAGAGACGCATACAGACATAAGGACATCATCGTCAAAATAGCCAGAATAGCTTCCTAGGCTCTTAAAACGTGAAGATCTGATGAGAACTCGATTTACTAAAACCGGGGTGAAACTAATATCTTCCCAATTTTTTGAAAATCTTTGATCGTAGCGGGAAGTTAAAAAAAAACATGAAATCCATTCGTGATAAATTACACGCGGGCGAAGACGCGGGGAACAGCTAGTACCTAATAAAAATAATACGTATTGCGAAACTTAATGAAATCGCAATTTTTATTCATTAGTGTTTCGTTTTAATATTTATATGTTCTTTTTTTCACATATTAGTGCGGTATATAAAAAATTATCCAGATTTAATATGAGAGCGGGTACCGTGACCTTGTGAAGTCGACAGTAAAACCTTCTTTGCTTCGATTTCGAGATATGCAAAATAGTCAGCCGCGCACAGAAAACTCATATTTTTAATTTGACAGTGGACGTATTTATGTATTGAATACGGGTGACAAACGAGCACACAGTCCACTTGATGGTAAGTGGATGCTGTGTTCCATAAACATCTACATTTATCTTTAAATAGACGGCTCCGTGGCGCAGTGGCTTAGCAGTGGTTGCGCTGGGGGCCGCGGGTTTAGTATTTGTATGGCCTACAAATAATTGTTCCGGGTCTGGATGTTTGTCCTTGTGCAATTTATGTTTGTAAACTGCTTCCACGACACAGGAGAAAATCCTAGTGTGGGGGTAACGGTTTTTAAAAAAAAAATTAAGTATCAATTTGCAGACGTATTCTCATCTCTGAAAACTAAGAGGGAATGCCTCGTTTCTAGTAAAAGGTTCTCCGGTTTTCTACACCCACCATACTAAACACAGCAGCATTAAGGTGCTATTTTAAGCTGGTATTCTGTGAAAGCGTGGTCCTACCCCGGTCGAGCCGATTCATTGGTGCTACAATCATAATATAGATGCAGCGTGGCTCTGCCACGTAAAATTTTGTGCCATTTTAGCCCTTATACGTTACAACGTGTTTCTACCACCTAATGTTGTATGGATAGCTTTTAAATACTAATACAGTACAGTAAGAGATACAATACAGTAAGAGTACAATACAGTAAGAGAGTCAAAAGTTGACCGTATAGCATATCCTCTGTGGCGTGTGTAAGAATGTCCACTACCTCCAATCGTCCGAAGAGTGTCGCAAGAGGCGACAGAGGGAAACTAACCAGGAGATACGCAGCAGTATCTTCCTAATAACAAGTAAAAATAAAAAAATAAAACTAATTGTCAAGCACAGCAACTATGGCAAATATCCCTATTAGGCAATCTATGGGGGAAGCCAATGTTCAGCAGTGGACTTAGGCTGTATCGGTAACAGAATTAAAATACATAATGCACTCTGCGTTCACTTCTATACCAGTTAAGCGATTCGAATATATTGATTTTTTATTGAATCAACTTTCTGTTACAGCCCGCAGCCCGCATGGCGGCACACCTACTAAGATACCAAGCCCTGTTGGCACCCTACTTCACAGGAGAACGCCGGTGAGTATTCAATAAATTGAAAACTGTTCTAAATTTAAAAACAACAATCATTTAATTGATCACGAACATTTTTTTTAATAACTGGCTTTACGGCTCTGGCTTCTAGCCCTTCTGAACCTGAAGTTACAATGTAAATAATTATCCTTCATAGTACACTGCTTCACAATATATTTATATTTTATTTATATTTTATAAAAATTAGTGTTTTGCTCATTTTATCACAAAACACTAAAAAAATTAACAAAATTTCAATACGTAATATCCAAAATATTCCACAAAGGATTAATATTTACTTATTAGAAACAACATGTATTGAATAAGTATATTATACCTAATTTGAAGCGTGGGAAAGAAGAAAAAAATCTTGGGTTTGGACGATTTTGGCGCTTGTAATAATGACAAAGTAATTACTGTTTTGTAGTATGTATTGTTTTATACTATGTAGAGATGCTATATTTCTTAAATCTTTATAATATAAAAATTAATTGCTGTCCGTTAGCTTCGCTAAAAACTTGAAACTGGCTAGACCGGTTATGATGAATTTTTTTACGTGTGTTTGAGTCCTAACCGGTCACAGCCTGGATGGTTTAGATTCCTAATTGCATTGGCGTTGTTGTCGAGATAAATAAATCCGTAAAACCGTGCGAAGCCCAGGCGGATCGCTAGTATATAATATATGCTATAACTTTGTATGTATGTATTTAATTACGTATGTATTTTAGACATTTTATTTTTTTATTTTCAGTAGTCAATTCAGCCCTGTTCGTTTCTACTTCAGATTCAAGTACACCAGTCCTTTCTGGTGGTTCTTAAAAGCCTTATTACAAAACAAATAACTAAGCCACAATTTATATTAAGCTGTGCACGAGTCATATTTCGACACATAAATACCTAACCCGATTTCATTTCGTATATAATCAATTAGCATTCGCTTGTCATAGCAAACAATGGCCGAAATGCAAATTGGCACGGCAGGTTTTCGCGCCATTTGTCACTTGTGCAATGGTATTGGTGCGAGGGAGACAACAAATGATAAATGAATTTTGAGAAATAAAAGCCAAATATTATGGTGGCACTTCACATGGCTATTTGTATTTGTGATTGCTTGTGGCCGTATTTGGCAAAAAATTCGACGTACGGGAAAATAAGCGATACAACCGTCTACACATGGAGCCAAAGTCCAAAAAATTTAACATGTTTGCTAGCACAAAGTAGATGTACCTACAAAATGGACGTTGCACTTGCAGCTCAATTTTATTATTTGAACGCATGTTACTATTATATTCTTTTGCCCCTCGTTTCCAGAGTCTCAAATGCATGGGTTCATATGGTAAAGTTCTAGAAACCCTACAACGGTTTCTTTGTCCCAATTCATTTTCCGTAGGTACTTAAATCACCTATTAAGAGGTTATAAACAGGTCCGTCCGTACTGGTTGACAGTTCGCGCGCTTATGAGCACAGCTTATGAGCCCGACCATGTGTGGTCAGTATATTTGCGTATTTGCCTATTTGTCTCCTTTGATGAGCCTTGAAAAACCGACGGCTATATTTGCGAAATAGGCAAATACGGCAATAAGTATATATATAATAAGTATATAACAAATATACTCTCCACACATGGAAGTCATTTGTCAAATACAGCAAATACGCAAATACAAATAGCCATTTGAAGTGCCACCATAAGACTTGCAACAAATATTCGGCTATTATTCGGTATTCGGCCTACTCGTTTACTTTTATCCTACTCGGTCGAATACCTAGGATCTATAATGATTTCTAAATTTACGCGAACACTACACATTTAAATAAAACTAATTTTACGGATTTTATCGCGTATATTATACATATTATACAAAAAAATTAATCTTAATAATAAAAAATTTAATCTGGAGGTAGTCGTGGTTAACTATGACATTGGGACGTCATACACCTCAGTGTCCCCCCCCCCCCCCCCTGTGACCATGTGTGCATAAAGTGCTTGAAACGTCGGGAATATAAAATAAGTTAATATACGCGATAAAATCCGTAAAATTAGTTTTAAATATCTAGGATCTAGGTATTATTCGGCCGAATACCGAATACATAAGTAAGAGATTTTATTGTAGTCAGATAATTAGTAAAATAAAAATATTAATTTATTTTATTTTATAATTTTAATTCTTGTAATCTTTAAAGTAGCCATAGCAACATAATCAAGTTCCATATTGTAGAAATTATAAAAAGAACTAAAATAAATGTCTATACACTCGAATTATCGTAAGTAAAGTGGAAGATAATGGTGCATAAAGACAAATTTTCTTCATTTTCAGGCAGTAGTTTACTCGTTTTCTTCTCGTAGACAATCCCAGCTCCAGAGAATAGACACTCTGAAGAATAAACACTGCTTCCTTCCCGGCCGAATACTTTTGCTTAATATTCTTTTTTTTCTCTTTTTTTTTTAATAGGAAAAGGGTGACAAACGAGCACATAGTCCACCTGATGGTAAGTGGTTACTGCGGCCCATAGACATCTACATCTATCCTCGTTTGCGAATCAAAATGCAGATGCGTTGTCACCCGTGAAGACTAAGATGGAATGCCTCATTTCCAGTAAAAAGGGCCTCCGGCCACCTGCACTCACCAAGCGAAACGCAGAGGTAAACCTCTACTTCACGTTGGTATTCTGTGAGGTCGTGGTACCACCCCGGTTCGAGCCGGCCCATTCCTGCGACAGCAAAAGCTGCCGCGTGGCTCTATCACTGTTAAAATTCGGCTATTTAGCCAGAAAGTCCGCAGAATATTCGGTATTCAGCCTATGGCCGTATATTCGTTGCAAGTCTTCTAAATATACAAAAGAAAAGTTTTAAACCACAACTATCTATCTGGTCCAGATTTTATGATTTTTTGGCACAGTTAACTCCAGCGCCACCTGTCGAATCTTAGCATATCATATATGATATATATGATATGCTAAGATTCGACTTACAAATATATAAATATATTTATTTCAACAAATATATTTATTTCAGACCAGCTTTGTTAGTAACACATATAACACACACAATAACTTAATGAGTTTATCGTAATAGTAATATTATGTTAGTAAAAATAAAAAAACAGCAAATAACATAAAAAAAACATTATATATATATATATATATATATATATATATATATATATATATATATATATATATATATATATATATATAATATTTATTTATATAACATAACATAATATAATATACAATATTTTACTATATACAATATTAAAAACTATGATAATTAAAAAAAAAACTGAAACTAGTAACTTAATTATCATACAGTTCACGGACTTTCATGTAAGAAAAGTGCTGGTAGGTTTTCACGTCACGGTTCTTTGAACGATGTCATTGGAAGGGCTCTTGTCTCTATAAATGTTCCCTTGGTTTTACAGACTTTTGGAATATTTAGAACGATTGCAGGAGACCCGACGGTATGACATTGGTCCCTTGGGAGAGGTAAAGCTCTAGTGTGGGATGCTACATCCGTAGACACTCTGGCGGCCTCTCATCTCAGGGGTACCTCTTTTAGAGCCGGGGCGGCGTCAGAGGCAGCTGAACTGAGTAATTGGCCCAAATATAAGTCTCTGAGAGATGACAACATATTTGTGCCATTTGCTGTAGAGACTATCGGTCCGTGGGGTCCACGTGCGGTGAGGTTCCTAAAGGAACTCCACCCGCGGCTGGTCGTTGCTGCTGGTGATAAGAGGGCTGGTTCTTTTTTTGCTCAAAGGCTAAGTATATAGCCAACCAGCGGGGAAACGCAGCCATCGTTCTTGGTACGATACCACGGGGAGTAGGAGTGTATGATAATTTAAGTTACTAGTTTTAGTTTTTCATAATTTATTTATTTTATTTATTTATTTATTTATTTAGGTACACAATAATAATATATTATTGATGATTATATGATAATTTTTTCCGATCTAGTTATTTGGTCGGAAAATATTATGCCTCTTGAGAGCTTCCACGGCGTGCGCTGCGTCGATAGTAAGGCTCAATTTACATTGCCGCGGAAGGGAATGGACCCGAATTTTTGTAACGGAATTGTACATAGTATACGTGGTAAAATAAAAAAAATTGTAAAACCGACTTCAATCTTTATATATAAAAATTACGTGTCACATTGTTTGTCCGCGATGAACTCCTAAGCTACTAAACTGATTGCAATGAAATTTTGCACACTGTGTGCAGTTTCGTCCAGCTTGAGAGATAGGATAGTTTTTATCCCTATAAGTGGCCCTCAATATTTTTATTACGAATTTACGAATTTTTATAGGACACATGGTCATCGGAGAGGGCAGAACAACTTCTGCCTGGCCAGCTAGTATAAATATAATTTATAGCTGAGTTTTTAAAAACCGCTCGACCGATTTCGAAAAAATTTAAATGGGACCACCTAGGAAGTATACCCCTTGAAACATAAAAGAATTTTCCAAATCGGTTCAGGCGTCTGAGTAATCGGTGTACAAACATAAAAAAAAAAAGATTCCGACGAATTGTAAACCTCCTTTTTGAAATCGGTTGAAAATGAAATTTATGTTAATTGTGTACCGTGCAAACTAGATATGAGCCAAAAAAAGTCGCGCGTCTTCTATGGAATTCTCGAGAATTCCCGTAGGCAAATATCAGTATCTTCTCGTTTACGTGACTTCCATTAGGCACTATCCTTACCCTACCTCTCTCTCTCTCTCTCCCCCTCGCTTCTTACACATCCATATATCTATACATCCATGCTCGTCGGTAAAGGGTGCTATTAACTTGGCCCATCTTCAATACATCTCCAATTTGATCGTTTTCTGAAAACTCCTGTCGTATAATAGATAAATTTGTTTATAGAATAAGGGTGACACGCGGCAGTCCACCTGATTTTAAGTGGATGCTGTTGCCCATAGACACTTACGTATACCCTCGATTAAGAATTAAAAATGCAGTTGTGTTGTCACCACTTAAAACTAAAATGGAATGCCTCGTTTCCAGTA